GACAGAGGGCCAGAGAAAACCAGGGTGGGGAAGAGAGGAGTGGCCTGCAGGGCACTCACAATGGGGTGTACCAGACGCTGAATCTCTGCAGATAGCCACCATCGAAGCCAGGCTCCCAGGAGACATTGGCACCCTTGGGCAAGGGCACCACGGACACATTGGTGACAACGTGGGGGCTGGTGCCTGGGTAGAAGGAGTGGGGGGAAGGATTATGGTCGGGGCCCTGAAGGAATGTGAAGAACTAAGAGGAACCCAGAGCCTCTGCCCTCCACCCATCACCCAGGGGTTCCCCACCCACCATCCTATCTGAGCCTTCAAGACCGATTCCCTGTCTCCTGCCCCACACGGTTTCTGGCAGCCCCAGCCGGCTATGCGGCCACTGACCCAGCACATAGACGTTCGTGGAGGTGGCCACGCGGGCGACGGCATTGCTGGCGGTGCACTCCCAGCGCCCATGGGCCTCCTTGGTCAACGGTCGCAGGATGAGGCTACTGTTGCTGTCCACCTGGGCCTGGTCCTGCAGCCCCCGGCCCACCTACAGAACCACCGGTCAGCCCTGAGGACACACGCAGCCACCCCTCATCACGGGCGCCCCCATCCCTGCAGGCGGCTCCAGCTTCCTTCCCGCCCTGCGTCTGAGAGCCCTTCCCTTCCCAGGTCCTCCTTCCCACACGATGGCCAGGGGCAGGGAGAGAGGGATGCGCGGGCAGAGGATAGGCACGCAGCTCCGGAGCCTTACCTTGGCCCAAGAGACGGTAGGAGGAGGGTCTCCTCTCGCAGAGCAGGGGATGAGTAGGTCCCGCCCTACTTCTTGGAAATATTCTTCTTTGGGCCGTTCTAGAAAAGCTGGGGGGGCCTGCAAGCCAGAGCTGGCATTGGGAAGGGCCTCTCTCACACTGTGTCCCCGTTCTGGGGCTCCACCGCACCTCAGGCTCATCTCTCACTCTCTCTCTAACTGTGTCTCTGTTCTCCTGGTGGGACAGGGAAGACTGGGGCGCTGGGCGGCCTCTCTGAGGTATACAGGTCAAGGTCAGTGGGGGGGGGGGCGGTGGAACGAGTATCTGACTGTGGATGTGCTGTGTGACTGATGGCCCATCTCCCTAGCACAGTGATGGCGAACCTATGACACGCGTGTCAGAGGTGACACGCGAACTCATTTTTTTGGTTGATTTTTCTTTGTTAAATGGCATTTAAATATATAAAATAAATATCAAAAATATAAGTCTTTGTTTTACTATGGTTGCAAAGATCAAAACATTTCTATATGTGACACAGCACCAGAGTTAAGTTAGGGTTTTTCAAAATGCTGACACGCCGAGCTCAAAAGGTTCGCCATCACTGGCCTAGCACCACCTCTGCAAAAAGACTCTGGGATGGCATCTGACCGCTGCTGCTGTGGCCACACAAGAAACAGAGACTTGGAAGCCCACCCCCCAAGACACACACACACACACAACACACACACACACACACACACACACACCTCTACCAGCCAGGTGTCCACACAGGGGGCATCTTCAGCCACCTGCCCCACCGCTGCTGGCTAACCCTGGGCCTCACCTTGAGCAGCACTCGGGTCACCGGGGAGGGCCCTGCCGTGCCAAGGCTATTGTAAGGGGTGCAGGCGTATTCTCCCAGAGCATCCTCATTCCCCAGGGCAATGACCAGCGAGCCTTCTGGGCCCTGGGACCAGCCGGGGAACTGGAGGGAAGAGGAGATGACAATGAGGAAAACGAAGTCAGCAGAAGCAAAACCGAGATGGAGAGAGGCCATGCCAGGGAGGAGGAAGCCCACGGCTATGCAGAGGCCACACCAGCTCAACCTCCAGGCCCGACCTCTCCGCACCCCAGTCCTCTCTCTCCCTTTCCCAGAGTGGGGCCACCCCCACGGGCAGTGAAGGCCAGCACTGCACAACTCCAGGGAATACAGTGTGGATGGCGCCCCCTGCAGGTGAACTGTGTGGGCGCTCCCAGCTGCTGGGACCTCATCTATTTGTCTTCCCAGCACTCCATGACTAAATTCAGCATCTTCCATCCCAAATCAGATCCTTTTCCGGGCTTCCCTATTTCTGTGAAAGGCCCCACTGTCCTTGCTAACCTCTAACTCCTCATTCTCCCTCACTCCCCCGTCTACATACCCACCAGGTCTGTCCTCCTGGGACGGCCTCTTGTCTAGACGTGAGGCCCATCCATCTTCATGTCCTCCTCTCTAACTCAAGCGACACAACTCCCACCTGGACCACTTCAACAGCCCCTGAACCCCTCTCCCTGCCCACTCTCTCCCCCTCCATTCTATCCAACAAATGCAACTCCTGCTACCACACCATCGCTCAAGCAACTTCACTGCCTACAACTGCCTTTAGACTTTTTTTCCCCCCAACATTCAACAAAAACGTATTGAGTATTATTACGGCTATAACCCTGGGGACACTAGGATTAAAAGATGCAATACTAGCCCACAAGGAATTTATAGTCTTTGCAGACAAACAAAAGATCCCAATCTCCTTGGGATGAGGTCATATTACGTTGCATCCAGAGTTCTTCCTTTTGGCACCAGCCTGCCTTCCCAGCCTCCTGAGCACACGCACAGCCACACAGGCTCCCCCCACGCTGGGTGGCTCATTGTGTCAGAGATGCACTCTGGTGGTTTTTGCCTTTGGGCCCTGGTTTCTGCATGGCATGTCTGTCCACCCTTCAAGGCCCACCACAAAAGTCCCAGCTGGTAGCTGATCTATCCTCGACCAGTGCCTAACAGGAAGGTACTTCCTCCATCCCTGGCCTTCCAGCACAGTGTCCCTGTGGCTGTCCCTCCGGCTTCTAGGCTGTGCCCTCCTTAAGCACGGACGTCTCTCTGCTCAGCTCCCCACGCAGCACCCTGCACAGTACCCAGCAGCACGTGTATGTTCTAGTCCAGGGGTCCTCAAACTTTTTAAACAGGGGGCCAGTTCACTGTCCCTCAGACCGTTGGAGGGCCGGACTATAGTTTAAAAAAAAACTATGAACAAATTCCTATGCACACTGCACATATCTTATTTTGAAGTAAAAAAACAAAACGGGAACAAATACAATATTTGTATTTGCATGTGGCCCGTGGGCCGTAGTTTGAGGACCCCTGTTCTAGTCAGTGAATTAAATTAGACTGAACTAACTCTGCCCCAGCTGTCCTGACTGGAAAAACAAGCTGAGGCCTCCCTCCCCTGCCCCAAGCCTGTAAGCCTGTACCTTGTCCAGCTGCAGGGCCTGCCCATCCTTGGTCCAGCTGACGAAGAGCAGCGGGGGATTGGCACGAACTGGGCACCGGATCACCCCTCGCATGCCGATGGGCAGGGGTGTCTCAGGAGGCATCGCTGTCACCTGGGCTGGGTCTGGGGGGAAACAGTGGCAAATGATGCAGGAGGCGCTGGACCTGGCCCAGGGGAGGGGGCAGGCTGTGAGGGGAGCAGGGGTCAGGCTTACAGAGCACAGTGAGGTAGGCTGAGGCTGAAGGCGGGTGCGGGAGGCCGTTGCTGGGCACACAGGTGTAGCGGCCCGCATCATCAGGCTGGGCAGCCTGCAGCCACAGGCTCCCATCCACCAGGATCCGCACTCGCGACTGCAGGCGGCTGCAATGGGGCATGTGTGGGGAGGAGTCTAGGCCTGGCTCAGCCAAGAGGCTCCCCAAAACCTGCCCCCCCCGTCCCCGCCCCATCCCTCAGAGCCCCACCTAATGTGGAAGACGTTGACGCTGTCCTGGAACCAGCTGTAGGTGAGGTTGGCAGGGTACGCCTCGGCCCGGCAGGCCAAGGAGATATCCTGGGAGGCATTGACCGTGCTGTTCTTGGGGGGTGCCACGATGACCGGGGGTCCTGTGGGGAGCACAGGGGAGGGAGGGGCCTCAGCCCACAGTCTTCCCAGACACCTGAGTTCACTTTTACTGCTCTTCCTGGAGCTGCCCTCTAGAACACTCCTTCACCCAGCAACTCCTGCCTGAAACCGTGTGTGTGTGTGTGTTGGGGAGGGGTACCAGGTTTAACTCTCCACTCATTCACCCTCTAGCCCCCTCATCTGCCACACCTTAAATCATCTCTGTCTCCTCCCCTAATCCAGGTACCAAGTACCTTACCCCCAGGTGCCACAGGGATCCTGGGCCCAGGCTCCTCACCTCTCCCCCTCTGATGGCCATCCATGCACCGAAAGGCCATTTATTTATTCTTTGGCCACAGAACACATCTACTCCAGACCCCAGAGCAGCTGCTGTCTCCTACCGTGTGCAGCTCACACGTCCTGACTCCACCCTCCCGATCCCAGCCCTCCCGCCTGGCCAGCCCTTTTCACACATCAGTGCCTATGGGCGGCTGTTAGCCTTGTGCCAGGTCACTCCTGTCCCAGGCCTTTGCTTTCTGAACCCCCATCCCGGGTGCGCTTCCTGAGAGCCCGGCCAAGCACAGAGCACCGCCCCAGCAGCTGCCGCTGCTCTGCTCGCTCCCCTCTCCGCTCCCAGGGGCTCTGCCAAGCACTGCTCATTGCCTTTCACCCTCAGAAGAGCCTGTGTTGTGGGAACAGGTGAAGAAACGAAGGCTCGGAGGCAGAGAGGCTGTGAGCGGCTTCCCAAGGTCAGCAGGGAAGGTGAGGTTCACAGTCAGGCTTCCCAACACCAAAGACTTCACCCTCAGCCATTCCCGACACGGCCTTTCAGGGGCTCGATGGAGGCAGAGTCCAGGCCTTCTGTTGCTCAGCTTTCATTCTAAAGGGAAGGTCTTGGCCAGGAATTACTAGGTGCTGATCACTAACTAAATTCTTGTCACCGCCCTAGAATTTGTGGTGGTAGATACAAACCTCTTTATATAGATGGGGAAACAGGGGGCCACGGGGGCCACAGACTCCCCAAGGACGGCACCTAGCACAAGCAGCTGCGTGGCGTGGGTGGTGCTGCCCTCGGAATTGGAGGCCTGGCAGGTGTAGATCCCAGGCTCATGAACGAACACCAGCACCCATGCTTTCGCCTCTACACTGCAGCACTTTGCACTAAATGTCTATTTGTCTGCTTACTGATCCTTTTAAAACGTAAGATGCCGATTTTAGAAGAACAGCCTGTGTTGGGAGCTGCCTCGCTCTCCACGTGCCCCTGTCCTCAGGCATAAGTCTCCTCCAAATTCCAGCTGTGCACACACCCCCCGCACCCCCCGCCACAATCAGGCCTCCCCATCGGTGTCCCAGCTCCCGGCCCTCCCCAAGGACGGCACCTAGCACAAGCAGCTGCGTGGCGTGGGTGGTGCTGCCCTCGGAATTGGAGGCCTGGCAGGTGTAGATCCCAGCGCTGCCTCGCTCCACCCGCCGGATCCACAGCGTCCCGTTCTGCACCTAGGGTAGGAGTGGAGGGGGAAGGCCCCCTCCAGCAGGCCTCAGACCCTGCATTTCCCAGGTTGGCCAGCAGAGGGAGGCAGCACCCCAGGCTCAGGAAACCAAAGGCCAGCCCTTCCTCTGGCCTTGGCCAGCTCTGTCCTACAGCCCCGCCCCCCACACCTCCACCTGCCCCTCACACCAGCCAGCAACAGGATTCACCTGCATCGGGCCCTGGCTCTGGCTGAGGTCCTGTCCTCGGAGCTTCCAAGTCACATGAGGCTGGGGGCTGCCATGGGCCACACAACGCAAGGTCAAGGGCTCCAGTTCCTTAACTTCCAGCACCTGAGGAGGTGTCTCCAGGAATTGAGGGGGTGCTGCAGAGAGAGAGGCATCAGGGGCTGCCAGAGGAACTACCGGCCTGCAGGCAGGGAGACAGATCAAGGCTGCAGCCTCAGCCCACCCAGCTTCACAGGCACCCCCAGCCAGGGCCACCCTGTCTGCTGCTCTCGGGGCTGAATGAGGATTGCACCAGCCCAGCCCGAAACTGGTTTGCAGAGTTGGCAATGGGGTCTGAGCACAGGCAGGGTGCTCAGAGCCAGGTGCCCCCTAGAAGAGCACTGTTCTGGGCATCAGGAGGCCAGGGTTCTAGACTCCACTCTGCCCCTAATCAGTGGCATGACCCAGTCTCCCTGTGCCCCTGTCTACTCATCTATAAAATGGGAATAATTATGACCTCCTTCCTTCTCAGGGTTGAGAAAGAATTCATGTGGTATTGGGTTAAAAGCTATTTTTGAAAAATATGCTGTATATATGTGATCTGTGTTTCACTCAGGGCCCAAGAGCCCCCACCCCTTACCCATTACTCTCTCCTGGCCAGGGAGGCAGGAGCAGGGAAGAGAGGGGAAGAGAAAGTTCCTAACAGAGAGCCTCCTAGCCTCTAGACTGGATTTCAAAGACCGGAAAGTGCAGGAGTGGGCGTGGGAGGGACAGAATACAAACAATGAGAGCAAATAAGGGTGTCACCAAGGGTGGGGGCCGAGAATCTGCCATACTCCTCCCCCCACACACCCTCCCCCCTCACCAGCCAGGGGCCCCATCACCCTGCTCCCAGCTTCATACAATTGACTGTGAGGTGCACCCAGGAGCCGTTAGCAGAATCGTCTTCGGGGCTGTGCCTGTCCAGGAAGAGCACGCGGCATTCGTACCAGCCCTGGTCTTCCACCCGGAGCCCCTCGATCTGGAGAGATGCCCCCTTCTGCAGGCGGACTCGCCCTAGAGGAGGAGCCCTGAATCAGGGTGCTGCAGGGACCCAAGGGAGCCCCAAACCCTAGTCACACTGGTCATTCTCAGAGGTCAACACTGGGCCCAGTCTCTCCCCGTTACCCTGATGGAGTGGGGTCTGGAGAGGCGCAGAGGGTCCCTGAGGGCAGGTCCCTCGTCAGCCCCTCTCATTGCTCCTGCATCAGCAATGGGGACCAGTCTAGACAAAGGGGACCCAGAACTAAAGAGGCGGACAGCTTCCAGGACAGTTGGGGGAGCAGGTTGAAGAGCCAGCACTGAGTATCCTTGGATTCTTCCAGGATCTGCCCCTCCCATGAGTCCTCCTCCTGCCACAGGACTCTGTCCCCGGAAGCTCAGCAGTGCCTGGGGCCTAAGCAGAGACCC